CCCGAACTCCTCCTCCACCAGGGTGCTGACACCAAACTCTTGGTCCATCTCCTCCAGCAGCTTGGCCTATGGGACAGGGAGGGGGTGACGTCTGACCTCAGGCTGTTCAGGATCAGCAGAAGGTGCGGGGCCTTACTAAATGTGAGTGCAAAGAGCACAGGACTTGGAGGCACGCTGCTGAAAACCCAGCGCAGGCACTACTGACCACTCCTACAGCCCCGAGCCCAGCCTCACCTCCCTAGGGTCCATGTTCTGCCTCACCAGCCGGTCAGGCCACCAGAGGCACTGAACGACACCCCAGCTCCCAGCACCTCACCCTCCTCTCTGCCAAGTCCTTCTCCTTCTGAAGCTGCCGGGTCCTCTCGATCCAGGCTGCAGTGTCATCCAGCCAGGGGTCATCCTCCCCCAGGGCCTTTATCTTCCTGAGGAGGGAAGACAGTGATGCTCCGGGAGCCAGCTCCTGCTCCCCCACCCCAACTCCAGAGCTGCTTGGCGCCTCCTCGGGCCCTCCCCCTGCCTGCCCGGCTGGGACCCTCACCCCAGCTTTTGGTTCAGGAGGCGCTTTTCTTTGGCAGCCGCCAGCTTCTCTCGTAGCTCTTCTCGCTGTCGCAAGGCCATGGGATTGATGACATCGGCGGTCACGGGCTCCTCCTTGGTGCCCGCCTCTGGAAGGGAGGCCCAGGCGTGAGGCTATGCCTGCCCAAGGCTGGTGGGGAGAGGAGGGAGCCACTCACGCTGCCCCCGTCCAGCTCAGGGGGCCAGAGGGGCCAGGAGTGGGGGAAGAATCCGTGCCTCCCTACTCCCACGCGACCCCACCCTCCCATGTCTCCCCATGGCACAATGGGACCCTCCATGCCTTCCAGAGTCCCTCTGATCATACTTCAAAAACAAAACAAAATGAAAAAACTAGCACCTGCACAGCCCAGATCCGTTTGCAGGAACTGTGCACATCTCTCAGCCCATCTAATGCTACCTCACAGCCAGACTGAGGATGCAACGCCAACTGCTCAAACTACAAGCAGCAGCTGAGTCCCAGATCCGCCACACAACAGCAAGGAGGGCCCCGCGCCCACTGCCGGCACACACACAGGACCGCTGAATGGTGCTGAACCTGTGCCCACTTTCTTCAAAGACCCCTTCAGATGGCCTCTCTCCTTGGTCCCAAATGCCCTCCCTTCCCCCACCCTCAGCCCCACACTCACCCTTCTTGACGGCATTGACCTCCAAGGGTTTCAGCCCCAACTTTGCCCGGAGTTTACTGAAGGCAAGAGATACAAGTGTTAGGAACTGTCAAAGAAAGAGCACCGAATGCATTTCTGGACAGACGGGGTGAAAACATGAGGGGACTGAGTGGTCCTAAGGGTCCCAAACCTAGGGCCTGACCCAGCATTGGGAAGAGCACTGGCCTCCCAATCAGGCGGAAGGCCTGGTCTGCCTCTAACCAGTGAAATGCCATCCTTCCTCTTGGCTCTTAATTGCCCACTTCTGTAACTCAAATGGTTGGCTAAGATGATTTACGTGGCAACTTCCAACTTCAATCAGAACGTGTTACTGTGCGAAAGCCACCCGAAACAGCTGCCCCTGAAACTGCTTGTAAGAAAACACAGAAACATAAAAGAGACGGTACTTACTTGGTCTCCTCGATGCTGAGTGACGAGGCATCACCTGAGCTTGCTTTGGAGCTGGCAGCTGGAACAAGAAGCAGCAAGGCTCAGGAGCTGAACACAGGGCCTGCAGCCACAGCCTTGGCTCCAGCTGCAGGGCCAAAGACGAGAGGCCCTCACCAGCACCTGGGCCTGCTTCCTCCTCCCCAGGAGCTCCTTCTACCTGAGTCCCAGGCTCTGAGAATGCCACCTCTCCACACACCTTCCTTTCTTGATCCAAAAGGTCCAGCTCTCTACATCCTTCACTTTGCCGCCTCTTCACTTTTGTACATTCTGTATTTTCAACCTGCACTGCCCTCTCTGGCCTCACCCTGATTAACAAAATCCTATCCGAATGCAACAATGAAATGCCACTTCCTTCGTGGAGTCCTGTTCGATTATTGATCAGCATGAACTGCTCTCCCCTGCACTGCATAGTACGGTCAGTCATTTCTGGGTCTGTTTCTCCTCACAGGGCAGGAACCACCTTGGCAACATAACTGTGTCCTCTATGCAATTCGTGCAATCAAGAAACACACTCATCGGTGCCTGTTCCACGATGATACCGGGTCCCAGAGATCAAGGGGCATTTCGGACCTCCTCCACCCACCTCACAAACAGCAAATAACTTCACCGAACACCAGAGACAACAGCCAGACCCCATCAGGCGGAGCTGCCCCAACTAGCTGCCACCACGTGCTCATCCTTCCGGCAGGCCCACCTCACAACCTACCTCTTTCCCTCTTTCCCTTTTATCCCACCTGGACCCTGCATCCCAACCCTTCTAGGCTCTCTCCAAGGTCACCAGCCTCCTTAATTCGAAATCCCATGGATTCTTTTCAGCTCTGGTTTTCGCCTGATCTCCTGCGGTGTGTGACATTGTTGATCACTCCCACAGATCCCATGACACAAGATTCTACGGTTTTCCTGCTTTGGAGGATAGCCTACCTCCTTTTTCTAGTCTCCTGCTCTGCCTACTACTAAAACATTGGCATCTCTCAGGTTCTACTCCCAACCCTGGCTTCTCACTCCTCAGTCTCTCAAGGGACTTCATTTGCCACCTGAACTCTCATGATTCCCAAATTGCTCTATCTGGCCCCAAAGCTGGGTTGCTCCATGCACATCAAATGCAACACTCTGCAAAAGCGAATTCGTTGTCTCCCTCCAAAAATCTGCGTCTCTTCCAAACTCCTCAAGTTCAGTCGACAGCACTCCCACCCACCTAATCGCTCAAGCCCAAATTCAAGGAGCATCCTCAATTCCTTCTTCTCCTTCCCGTCCTCTTCCAAGTGCTAAGCTCTGTCACATCGTCCTCCGAAACACCTTTCCAATCTCCCCTCCATCCCACTGCTGCTGCCTTGGTGCAGGCCACCATCAGCCTTCACCTCGCCTCCAATCTTCACTGCCCTTGACCCAGTTCTCAACACAATGATCTTTGCAAAATATGAATATAATCAGCGCACTCCTCAGCTCAAACTCGTGGCTCCCTACGACTCTCAAGACAAAGTTCAAATTTCTTAACAGGGCCTATCTCACAGCCTCGTGTCTCTGCTGTGAACTCTACACAACTTGCGCAATATCAGGTTTCTTCTTGCCTCTGCACGTGCTGGCACCACTTCATTCACTCACTCAACACACTTAGGGAGGGCCTGAGATATGCCAATTGAGGAAAACAGAAAATTTCTACCCTCACGAAGTTTAACAGAGAAAAACAACCTTTAATTCCAAATAACCACAGGAAGACCCGTTACGGTACTGACGAAGAGAGTGTGGCGATGCCTCGGCCTGGTGTGCTCGGCCTCCAAACCCAGAGCCCACCACCCCCAGACACCCCCCCCATCGCCCCGCCCCCTGCACAGGCCCCGCCCCTCACCGGCCTCGTAGCCGTCCTCCCGCTTCTCCCGCTTCACCCGCCGCTCGGAGGGCTCTGTCTGGTTGCGCTCCCGCCCGTGCGCGCCGCTGCGGGCCTCAGCTTCGGCCCCGCGTCGCCCGCCCCCGCGTTCGCTCCCACGCTCTCGGCTTCGCTTCCGTCGTTCGCCGCCGCTGCTGCCGCCGCCGCTGCTCCGGTGCTTGTGTTTTTTGTGTTCCCGGTGCCGAGGCGGCTGTTCGGTGGCGCCCCCGGTGCCGGCCGCTGCCGTGGTCCCGGCCGCCTCCTTCTCCCCACGGTGCTTCTTTGACGATCCCATGGTGGTGTGTGCACCCCGAGCCCGGCTACCGCCGAGCCCCGACAACGCAAAATGGGAACACTTCCGGGTCGCCAGACAGCCGGTGTCGTAATGCCGGAAACCAAGAGCGGCTGCTTCCGTCGCTTGCCTCGGAGCCGGCCCCAAAGGTTCATGGGAAAGCCGGGATCGGAGCCCGACTGCGCAGTCGCGGCCGCCTCGGGCCGTGGTGCAGTCTTTGAGCAAGTCGCCCGATTGCGCATGCGCGCCTCAAGGTGCTGTGCGACCGGGACTGGGTAAGACGGCATCCCAGAACTTTAAGGACCTAGGGGCCATCTAAGTCAGCACCGCCGACGCAGAAAAGCCCCTCTCAGGCTTCTCTCCGCTTGCACACCCTCGGTCACGGGACAGTCACTGTCTCACGGACTTTTCCGTGGGCAGCGCCCACCGCTCCAGTAGGCGTCCTCCTAGTGAACTCCCTGGGGTCGTGGCTCCATCAGGTGTTCAACGACGAGCGTGTTCTCCTGAGACCCCCCCCAGCTCCACATTCCAGCCTCCTCCCAATCCCTACAACTAGTACTGTCTGCAAACGCTGCCTTCCCCCGTTCCTTGGATCGGATTTTTTAACCTGCGCCCTGTGACTGCTACGGAGGTCGAGATGAACTTCTGGGTGTCTGAGTCCCCTGAAATTGAATGTAAAATTTGGCATGTCCGTGTGTTTGAGGGGTTTTTTTCCCCCTTGAGGAGAGGGGCTCTAACCTGAAGTTGCTTAAATGTGAAAGCTCAGACCACACAATCCCTCCTGACACCCCCGCCTCACAGTTGCTCGTTCTGGCGGCCCGTTTGTTACACCGTGCGCCCCTTTAATGGTCCGACCCCCTCCCCCACAGGACTGGGAGTTCCCAAAGGCGGAAGCCATTGTGTCCTATTCACTCTTGAATTCCAGCACCCAGCATTTTTAGGAGTTGCAGCTCTCGCTCTTGGAGATGCCCCACTCAGTCCTCAGGGCAGAGGCAGAGCCGTGTGTGCTGGGAGGGGGCAGCCAGAACAGCCAGAGTTCCTCGTCCTGGGAACCCAGCCAAGAGCGCTGCATACCCACCTGCCACCACCTACTCCCAACCTGCAGCCTCTTTCCACTACCACCAGGAATCCCACGCTGTATATTCCACAAAGCATTTAATTTTTATCTCAGGGACTGGACTCTCGGTCTGGGCTTGGGGCGGAGTGCTTGTCAGGCTGGCTGCCAGTGGGTTCTTTCTTTGGGGGACTCTTGAGAAGAGTGCTCCGTTCTCACTCCCACTGACCTGTGGCTCCTTAAAGATAAAGACACAGATAGAGGCCATTGGGCTGTGCAGCTCCCCACCCCCATAACCAAGGAGACCTGGGCTGTAGAAGGGGAAAGGCCATCATCACAGATGTTGTGGATTCAAATCTGGCTCCTATGCTGTGTGACCCTGAGCAAGTGACTTCCCCTCCTCAAGCCTCATAACCCCTGCTCTGCACCAAGTTGTTCTAAAGCATAAGGGTAGGTGGAGTGACCAGCGTGGCACCAGCCCACAGTGGGGGTTTGATGTGTGGCCAGTCAGGTGGCTGCAGGTTCCCAGATAGGCTCTGCTGCTTATTCATTCCTGTGTCCTTGGGCAAGACCCTACCCCTGGGGTCCTTAGTTTCCTCATCGGAAGTGGGGAAAATAACCCTGGCCCCGCCTTCCTTGGGTGACATGGAGGACAGCGCCTGGGGAAGGCCCTGCTGACTGCGAAAGCTAGACAGAGTCCTCCAGGCCAGAGGGTGGACGGGGCAGGACTGAACTCACGGTAGATCCATTTGGCTGCTCAAGGAGTCCCCTCGGCCTTTCCCCAGGGCAGGGTGACAGGTGGATGAGGCCCTGCAGGGCAGAGTGCTGGTGACCATGCCCTTCCTCCCCACAGCTGGGCCTCACCTGGGTTTCCTGGGGGTGCCCTCCGTATCCCCCTTTCCTGCCTCAGCCAGCAGCCGCTCCTCGTCCAGTCCCAGTGCCGACAGCACCTGGGAGAAGCGCCGGGTCACAGTGAGCCGGGCATTGGCCTGAGGAGAGAGAAGCGGGGTTCCTCTCTCACCTGGGCTGCTGAGGACACAGTGAGCCTCTGCTTACCGAGGGGGTCCCAGGGCTTCCAGATGGGCAGCAGCCCAGGGGTCCCGCTAAGGGGGCCCACGCCCACCTCATCTCCCCACCCACTCGGCCAGTGAGAAGCTCTGGTCTTGGGGAGCCACGTGCTTGCCCAGGTGCTAGCCTCACCTGCATGGCCTGCTGGAACAGGTAGGGCCGGGCCTGCACCCGCTGCTGGATACCTTGCAACTCTGCCTGGTACTCAGCAAAGCGCTGTCGCTCCTGGCGCCTGCGGGGAGACGGGCCTCTGGGTGGCTAACTGTGGACATGAGCCGGCCCCCTCCTGAGCCCACTTGTCCTCATTAAGAACTTTCGGTTTCTGTCCTCCTGCCCTTAGCTTTACAAAACCATTTGATTTCCATCCTTGCCCTGGATTTCTCCTGAGGTCAGTGGGGCGGGAATCATCTGTCCCATTTTACCCATGACACGCCTGAGGCTCAGGAGGGTCAAGGGACTTGTCCAAGGTTGCACAGCTGGGAAGTGAGGGACTGAGCGCTGAACCCAGGTCTGCAGGCGGTGCCAGGCTTGCCCCTCCTCCTAGCCGTCACCAAGGGAGAGGGGCCAGCACTGACTTTGAGCAACTGGACATCTGCATGCACAGCCCTCCCCTCTCTGCATCCACCCCTGCACCCTCTCACACTCTGCCTGTGAGGAGACACTGTGACTGTTGGCTGTGGCTTTGGGCAAAATCCCAGTCTGGGCTCTGGGTTCAGTTTTCTTCTCTGTGCTATAGCCCGAATGGGACAAGCTTGCCAGCATTCTCTGTGGTTCTTATAAGCCGATAGTTTAGAAAATGGGACAGAGGAACTTAAGAAATGTATTGCAAATGAAAGAACACATCCCAGAAAGATCTAGGTTCCACTGGAGAAGCACAATCCCATTTACAAAAACCCAGTCTGTGCGCTTGTCGGAAATCTGTCTGCTCGCAAGCCGTGCATCCTGGCAGTGAGGGGCCCTCTGGCTACACCACACACGGGACCGGGCATCCTTCTGCAGAGCACACGAGAGAGGCCGAAGGGCATGGTGGCAGCACCCACAGACAGAACGGGAGGGGAGAGGCACACAAGACTCCAAAACTCATGCTGGGACTTCCAGCAAGTATGCTGAGCCCTGTGGAAAACACTGGCTTGCTGGGCCAGGCTCCTTGGCTATGTGCCAGAGAAGGAAACTTCCTCCGTTCGAGAAAAAGATGGACTTGAAAACCATGGCCAGGAACAGAAGTCACTGCAAAGAGAAGTCTTCACTGTTCAAGAGGGGATTTTACAGCAGTTACAAGGAGTGGGGAGTGGGGGAAGCATGAGCTGCATTCAGTCTCGGTCTTGCCCGTGAGGTTGTGTACATTTTTCCTGCTTGGTTCTTGATGCTATTTCTGTTAGAATTGAGAGGAAGCCCATGTCTTGGAGCTCTAAGCGAGAAAGGAAGTGATGTCAGTGGATGTCAGCCCTGTCTCAGAATAAAAGTAAAGTACGGAGCTTCCCTACCACAGGGAGATATCTTCTGTGCCCACCCTCCCGGGAAGGGCAGAGTCTCCCATGAAGCTCAGAGCAAAGATTATGTGCTGGAAGGGCTGAGACACCCCGTGGGAAATATCCTCTCCCCAGTCGAAAATGAAAGGAGTGCGTTTGGAACGCTCCTCTCACTGACATCTGCCACTGGAGTCTGGCCTTCCACTTCCTGCCGTGTGAAGAAACAATGAACTTGAGGTCCGGCAGGGAGAAGGCATCTCCCCGATCACTGGCCAAGGATTCCTTTAAAGTACACGCGACCTCTCGAGTCTTGGTTTCCTCATCTGTAAAGTTGGGAGTGATGAGGCTGAGCCTCAAAGAGTAGGTGATCAGAGCCCCCCTGAGTCCTCAGGGGCCCCATCGCAGGGCAGGAACCCTGTAGTCTCTCAGCAGCGCCCAACTCACCTTGCCCTAGCGCTTCTCCCTGGATGAAAGGGCTGCCTTGGTGCCAGCTGCACCCCGTAGGTCCGCAGTGTCAAGGGCATCGGTCATCATATTTACTTGAGTTATCTCCTTCCCTAGCTTGGGCTTTGGGGGGAAGATCCTGGTGCACTTTATCTGAAGATTGGGCATTTGAGCTCTCCGAGGCAGCATAGCAGGGCAGATGAATGGCTGCCTGGGTTGGAATCCCAGCTTTGCCCCTCTGTTGTGACCTTTGACAAATTATTTAAGCTCTTGAAGCCTGACTTTCCTCATCTGTAAAATTATGGGAGTGCTGATGATACCTACTTCACTCTCCTCTTATGAGTCTAAGAAAGAGTTGCTTTTAAATATGAATTTGCTTTTTTATGATCAAAATATAGGAAGAAAATGAAACAGATGACTCTTCCCCTGACCACGAACAATGGCTGTTTCCAGGAGCCGGATCACAGGCACTATTCACATTCTCCATGAACTATTTCTGTAATATTTGAATTTTTATAGTAAGCACGCCTGGCATTTGAAATCAGAAAACAAGATTTGAAAGTGTGATAATGCAAGAAGAACATTTTAAACTTCAGCCTTCGACAGCTGCAGGAATTGTTATTATTAACAAGGTGATCCTGGCCCAGCCCCTTCTCCTCACAGGCCTCAGTGTCTTCATCTGTAAAGCGGCCCGACCTGCCCACCTGGTGGGGAGGCTGGCCCTGGAAGCTCAGCCCGTGGGAAGGTGAGGGCAGGTTCCCCTTGGTCCTTTGGTCTGACACCCAGCACCGCCTCCCTGCCCTCTCCCCTCCAGGCCCCCCGCAGCTCCGGCCTACCTTAGCTCCTCCAGCTTGCGCTGGGCGGCCCCCGGCCCCCGGCTCCCTCTGGGTATGTAGGCTGCCAGGCACTGAGCCAGCCGCTGCTGTAGCCGCTGCTCCCGGGCCCGCCGCAGCTCGGCCTGCTGCCGCTTCTCCTGCTGCTGCTGCTCCCAGGCCTGCAGCCGGTTTCTTGGGTGGGGAGAGGAAAGGAAGAGGGGTGGGAGAAGTCTGCAGGGAACCAGGAGCCTCATGGAGGGCCAGGGGCAGGTAGGGGCGTATGGGGGCCTGGAGGGAGGGACTGCTGCAGCCCAGAGATCCAGGGGCCTGGGGAATGGGGTTTGTTGTGGAAGTTGGACAGGATGCAGGCTGACTCTGGGGGCTCAGCCCTCAGGCCTAGCTCAAGGTCTTTCCCTACGCTTCCTGGAAGCTTCCTGCCTACTCCAGCCAGGGGTGTACCCCAACTCGGACAGTCCTTAGCCTTGTGGAGCTCAGCACACACACCCATGACCTCACCTGTATCGCCAACTTCCCCTTGCAAAGCAGCTCTCCTTGAGGGGAGGGCCCAGATCTTTTTTTCTCTCTGACCCCTATATCTGGTAGGAGCTAGGGTAATGCTTACGGGTTTGAGGGACAGACGGATGAATGGATGGGAAAAAGAAACAAATGGTGATCAGTGGGTGGATGGAAGGATGGATGGATGGTGTGGACGGTTGAATAGACAGCGCCTAGATCCACCTGGAACATTCTTCCCCCAGATGTGATGGTCAGTTCCTCCGGTCAATCAGGTCTTTGCTCAAAGGTCAGAGAAAATGAGACCTCAGCACCCCATCTACCTCCCAGGGACTTTCTATCTCTAGCTATACATTCTGTTCATTTCTTTATCAACTATCCTCCTTCCCAAGTAGAATGTGAGCCTCATGAGAGCAGGATCCTTTGTCTGTCCTCTGCACCACCAATGTATCCCCAGCACCTAGCACAGTGCCAGCACCTAGCACAGTGCCTGACACAGACAGAAACTCAGTATTGATGAGTTCATGCACAACTGAATCATGGTCAGATAGAAAGATGGACAGATAGGCAGACATACACTCAGCACATGTTTATTGAGCACCAACTATGTGCCAGGTCCTTTTAGGGTGCCAGACGGGGGCTGTGATCAAAAAGATCTGGCACCAGGACTTCCCTGGTGGTCCAGTGATAAAGAATCTGCCTTCCAATGCAGGGGACGCGGGTTAGATCCCTGGTTGGGGAACTAAGATCCCACATGCTGCAGGGCAACTAAGCCCGCGTGCCACAACTACTGAGCCCAGGCGCCTCAACTAGAGAGCCTGCGTGCCACAAACTACAGAGCCCACACTCTCTGGAGCCAGCACGCCACAGCTAGAGAGAGAAAACCCTCACACCACAACTAGAGAGCAGCCCACGTGCCACAACAGAAGATCCCACATGCCGCAACTAAGACCCAATGCAGCCAAAAACATAATAAATGAATAAAATAAATATTAAAAAAAAAAAAGAGCTGACACTGTCCGTGGAGGAGCCCTCAATCTGTACAAAGGGATGGACAGACAGCCCAACACCTTACCAAGGAATCTGGGCTTTGTCCTAAGGGCACTGGGAAGCATGGAAAGGTCTCAAGGAAGGATAACAGGATAAGACTTGAAGGGTGCTATCAGGATGCTGAATGGGTTCTCACCTACCACTTCTAACTTGTCACCGAGGCCCACTGAGCCAGCCTCCAAATATCTTTTAAATAAATCCCCGTCTCTTTACTCACATGGCCACCCGGTCCAAGCCCTCATCAACCCTCACCTAGACACTGTCAACAGCCCCCATCTGTCTTCCCCTCTGCTCCCACTGTCTCTCGTTCAAGCCCTAAGTATAGTAATGATCTAACTCTTCTGCCATTGTCGCTGTTTTGCCCATCTGTCTCCTTTTCCAGCCGACCTTGAGCTTCTTAGGGCTGAAACCAAGTCTTTTTACCTTTATATCCTGAGGACCCATGAGCAGATACCTGATATATGTCGCATTAATCACTTAGCTAATAAATTAATGAATGGCTAGAAGATGGGAAGTGAATGAAAACTGGCTTGTGTCAATAAACAGTTGGCCAAGCAGACAGATGTATGCATGGATGGTGGATGGATGGATGGATGGATGGTGGATGGTGGATGGATGGACAGATGGTTGGATGATCAGAAAGACTGGTGAATGGATAAATAAAGGAATGAATGAGAGGATGAATGACTGTCTCCTGAAGAACTAGTCCCTGTGCTTTGCTCCCACCCTTCTTCGTCTCCACCTCACCTGGTGGCCTCCTGTCGTTTGTGGAAGGTGCGGTTAGGGAAGTGTGCAAACAGGCAAGTCTCATCAGCTCCCAAGGCATGGGCCTTCCTGTTCCAGCGGGAGGCCTGAACAGCAGCCCGCGATGGCTCCCAGGGCAGCTTTTCGGGATCTGTGCACAGAGGGACAAATCAGGCACTGCCGTCTCTCCTGGCCCCTTGGGCAATCCCTCCCCGCACCTGGAGCGCAGCCCAGCCCAGCCCAGCCAGGTGGCTGGCTCCAGCCCCTCTCCGCACTGTGCGGCTTCGTGGGGGAACCCGGGCCTTGAGTCCCACGCTCACCACAGTCCAAGTCCTGCTGCAGCTGCCTCTGCAGCTTCTCCAGGTTCCTCGGCCCCTCCAGCTCCCTGGCCCTTGGCCTCCTCCTCTGTGGTCCTCGGAGGTTGTTGGAGCCAGAGCCACTCCCCTGGCTCTGCAGTTCACTCCCGTCCCAGGCCTCCTCGCCAGAATTCCACCCCTTTCTTGGAGAACTAGCCCTCCTTCTCTGGGGGACCCTGTGCTCCCCCTCCTCGGCCTCGTCTGTGGCCTCGGCAAATGGCTCCTCCTCCAAGATCGACCCCCTTCTGGGGAGCTGGGGCGGTTCCCCGGGGCTCAGAGCCCTCTCGGCCACCTCAGCGCCCAGGCCTTCTGGCTCGGCCTCCGGCCCCGATCCTGAGCTCTTCCCAGGCAGCTCCGGCTCTTGGCCCTCCGCTTTGCCAGGAGGGATGGGAATGCATCTACAGGCCCTGAGCTGCTGTCTCCTCTCCGGATCTGGCGCCTCTGTCTTCCAGCAGGAGCCACGGGCCTCTGGGTTGTTGGCCGTGGACTTGCGCCTGGACTTGTGCCGATGGACCGCTGGGGGCAAGGGCAGGGCTTGGTGGCCAGGGGCCGAGGCGGAGCCCGGCTGAAGCAGAGCCCGGCCATCTGTGGTGAAGCTCTCCCAGACCCACTGGAAGGGGAAGGAGGGTTTCCGAGGAGGAGAGGGGACCAGACTGAGGAGGGAGAGGGCAAGGGGCAGGGGTCAGGGTCTGTGCGCTGGCCCCAACTGGGGCCTGGCACCCAGCAGCCCCCCGGCCCCTCCGCAGCTGCTTACTCCTCAGCCTCAGCAGAGCCTTGCCCCTTCTTGTTCCGGTCCCTGGGCCTCCGGTCCTTCTTTGCCATCTGCCCCGCGCTCACAGACCTCTGCTGCTGGCCCTGAATTACACCATCACTGCTCCCAAGACTCCCCTGGGCAAAGACAGGAGAGGAGGCCCAGCTCTGAGTAGCTCCCCCAGGGGACCCTCCTGTTCTTTTGTTTGTTTGTTTTATGGCCGTGCCACACGGCATGTGGGATCTTAGTTCCCTGACCAGGGATCGAACCCACACCCCATGCAGTGGAAGCTCGGAGTCTTAACCACTGGACCGCCAGGGAAGTCCCAGGACCATTCTTTTCTGTCAGGCTGGCCCCTCTGGGCCCTTGTTACCACTGAAACTGACTGATCATGACCTGAATTATTAATATTAAAATAGCAACAACTGCTATTTACTGAGCATCTACTGGGTGCTCAGGACTTTCAAGTATTAACTCGTTTAACCTTCCCAAGGATCCATGAGGTAGATATTCGCTATCACCCCTGTCATGCAGATGAGAACACTGGGGCTCAGACAGGTGAAATCACTTGGCTAAGGTCACACAGCCGGTAAGTGGAGCCAGGACCTGAGTGTGTTGAGTCTGTCTCCAGAGCCCAGATTTGTCACCATTGCACTGTACTGCCTCTGGGCTCCGGATAGCTCTTCTGAATGCCCCACAGGGCCCTGGACTTACTAAGCCAAAGTGGGAAAAAACGCATTGTCTTTCCCGAAATCCTGATCCTCCCGCAGTGTTGCAGAAGTTGCTCCATCAGAAGTCTGGGAGTCATCCCTGGGCATCATCCTTTTCTTCATCCGACATCCTGCAGGCCTCCCTGTAGTCCCTGCCCGCCTGGGGCCTCCCTGACTCTCACCTGGGCCTCAGCTCCAGTCTCGTGGCTTCTCAAGGGCTTCCCTCAGCCCTAGCCTCCCCACCCCAGAGAGCCAACCTGCCTCTGGGCCGTTGGCTATCCCCCCAAGGAGCCCCCCTCACCTGCTCAGCTTGGGGGATGCTTGAGAGAAGCTTGAGCAGACATGGGACCGTCCCTGGAGCCTGCTGTGGTGTGTCTTGCCCTGGTCTCCCCGATGCGGTCCTTACCAACTGTTGGTGGGCGTTTAGCATGTTGGTGTCTTGTCCCATCCCCCGCCCCGCCCCACATCTGCCAACCTTGGAACTCCCTGTCCGACCGTCTCTATGGCAACCAGTCCTCAGCCAGTCTCAAGGGCTCTGGCAAAAGCAGGCCAGGAAAGGTATATATATAAGTCCTACTTCCTTCCGGAGGGGAGAGTTGGGCAGGATGCTGAGAAAGAGTCCAGGCCTGGGAGTCCAGAGATCCAGGGCCAAGGCCTGCCTCTGCTCCTGACTCTGCAGGACTCCCCGTTGACCGAGTACAATTCCCCCCTGCCCTTGCTCAGCCTGTGTTTCACCATCTATTTATCAAAGGGGTCTCAGGACTCTCCATCTCAAAGGGTCCTCACACCCTACGAAGATGGCAGACGGTGCCTGCCGTGTCCCTCTCCCTCTGCCTGCCTCCTTGCTGCCCCTCAGCCCCTGCTGAGGCCATGTAAGGGGCAAACTGAACCCTCACAACAAGATCTTGTTCAAACCACTTACCCTCCGAGGCCCTGACAGGACAGGAAAGGCCAGGAAGTTGAATACCACGTCCAGGAACAAGGCAGCAGGCAAACCAGAGCACTGAGGAGGCTCTGGAGGAAGAACATGCAGCTCTCATTCCAAAGTTCTAAGCATCGCCAAAAAGCCTTGACACGGTAAATCCCCGTGAGATGCCGGGAGCTGACCACTGTGACCAGCAGTATAGGGACCTGGTGCCGAGCTGAGGCCCTGGAGATGGAGTAGCATGGCTTAGCCTCTCACCGGTCTGTGACCTTGGGCAAGTCACTTCTCCCCTCTGCCAAACTGGAATCAGAGGCCCATCCCGTAGGTTTGTTGCAAGGATTCGATGAAATCACAAAGGCAACACACTCGGTAAATGTTGGTTAAAACTGCTAAAAATCACTGATGACTATTGGTAGGCAGCAGAGTACGATGGTCAGGAGTACAGAGGAAAGGGACTTCCCCGCAGTCCAGTGGTTAGGACTCCGCACTTCCACCGCAGGGGCACGGGTTTGACCCCTGCTGGGGCAACTAAGATCCCGCAAGCTGCAGGGCATGGCCAAAAAAAACCCCAAAAAACAGAGGAAGCACGGGGGTTGAGATCCCAGCCCCTCCACGTGTCACGTACCTTCTCTGTTTCCTCATGGGCAACGTGGGGCTGGTTATAACAGTGTCTACCTTCTAGGGCTGTGGCAAGGATTAAATCAGTTAATATATACACACATGCATCATGGAACATTTCCACAGCTCGTCACAACAGCCAGGTGAGAGTTGTTATTAATCAGCCAACAGTGCGGCCCCGGTGAGACTGCTCGTGGAAGTAAATCCCAGCAGATGCCCTACGGGCGTGTTTTGCTCAGAGCTTTGTTGCTGTGGACCCCTGTCTGCTTGCAGACTCCATCCCAGTAGCACCTCTGCAATGAGCACATTTCACTGAACAACCTAAGTAACGCTCCAGGGAAAGATCTTTTCCATTCAAAATAGGTCAACTCTGCTCTTTCTGGTGGGCCGCCAGCCCCGCGCATCCACCTCCTCTGCTGAATGTCACCCGTGGGACCCCAGGTGAAGGGCAAGTGTGTGGGCTGCTCCATTTTCAGAGAGCAAGTCCCCTCCAGACCCCCATCGAATTGATTTTTTGGACAAACTCTGGGCTACTTCCTTCCTTGGCAGAGGACGGGTCTGGGCTCCTCAGGTAAATATTTTCACGAGGTGTCTACAGACCTTTCCAGCCACACTCACTCCTCAAGTGAGCTCCTCCAGTCTGCTGGCCTTAAAAGACATCTATCACCTTCCAGGTCTGCCCGAGTTTACATATCTCAGGACTGACCTCTCCCGCAAAGTCCAGACTCGTATCCAATGGCCCATTCGACAACTCCACTTGGATGATGAATAAGCATATTAGTTAATTTGACATGTTGAAATTCAGACTTTCCATCTGCCCCATCTCAGTCAAGGCCACATCCATCCTTCCTGCTGCTCACGCCAAAATTCTGGTGTCATTGTGGACTCCTCTCTTTCCTTCACACTCCACACCCCAAGCACTAGCAAACCCTGCTGGTGCCGCCTTCAGAATACACACAGAATCCAGCCACTTCTCCCCTCCACCACCATTAGCACGCTCCCCCAAGCCCCCACCCCTTCTCATCCGGATCACTGCAGTAGCCCCTGCGCCCAGCTTCTGCTCTTGCCCCAAGTCTGTTCTCTACTCAGCAGCCAGAGTGATCCTGTTAAGACTGGAGCCTGTCCTGCCTTTGTTTAAAACCCTCCAATGGATTCCCACCCCCTCTCTTTTTGGCTGCGCCGCACATCTTGTTAGTGTTAGCGCTGAGTTGATTATGTTCCTTATTTCACAGTGTATGAGAATCACCAATGGATACAAGGTCAATCTCTTGTTTTGGTTTAGCATTTTTTTCTCCTTTATCTTTGCTCTTCATTCCCATCTCACTTAAATAGGAATGGCTCTGTGAAGTATCTAATATCATGTTTATGCATTGGTGGTTTTAGGTTATATAAATGTATTATGCTGTTGACCTCATTTTTGTTCCTTACTCTTCTCTCTGAACGCCACGTTTTGAGAAGCTGTCTGTTGTTTCTGACTGTTGCCTAAAGTTCTGTAGTTTGCTTCCATTACGCTTTACTATGCATTCCCCTGAGGTTGGATGCCAACGTTGCCCCCAACTTCTGTTTCCACACAGGACACTGCAGTCAACGCCCTTGTATATGCCTCTTTGTACATCTGCACGAGAATTTCTGGGGCTTATTTACCAAGGATTGAGAGTGTGGGATCTTGAAACAAATGTATATCTCTTTTTAGATTGCTTGAAAAAGAAGTTGTACCAGTTTATATGCCTGCAAAAGTGATAAGGGGTTCTGTCGGCCCACACCCTCACCAAACATCAGTATTCACCTGATGAATTTTTACTCACCTGATAGTTATAAAAGGGTATCTCCCTGGGATAAACTATAATGGAAAAGAATACAAGAAAGAATGTATATATGGGACTTCCCTGGTGGTCTAGTGGTTAAGAATCTGCCTTCCAATGCAGGGGATGCGGGTTCAATCCCTGGTGGGGGAACTAAGATCTCACGTGCCATGGGGCAACTGAGCCTGTGTGCCACAACTAGAGAGAAGCCCGCGCGCCCTAACAACAGATCCTGCATGCTGCAACGAAGATTCCGCGTGCCACAACCAGGACCGATGCAGCCAAATAAATAAATAAATATTTTTTTAAAGTATATATGTGTATAACTGTGTCACTTTGCTGTACAGCAGAAATTAACACAACATTGTAAATCAACTACACTTCAATAAAAAAATAAATTTTAGGGACTTCCCTGGAGATCCAGTGACTAAGATTCCGTGCTCCCAATGCAGGGGGCACAGCTTCGATCCCTGGTCAGGGAACTAAGATTCCACATGCCACGCGGTGCGGCCAAAAGAAAAATACATATATGTATATATAAAATGAATGAAAAAAAAGGTATCTCATTGTAATTTTAACTGAATTGTGCTGATTACTTCTTTGACCCCATCTTCATTAATTTTTTGCCTTTGGGCCAGTTCAGTTCAGTTCAGTTCAGGGGTACTTGTTTCTGCTCATGGCCATTTCTCTATTGTGTTTCTTGGCTTTTTCTTATTAACTTGCAGGAGTTCTTCATTCACTAGGTTGCAACCAGCTATCTATCAACATTATCTCTGATGGCCTTTGTGGAGCAGAAATACTTAATTGTTTTGTTTGTTTGTTTTTGTTGTTGTTGTTTTTGCGGTACTCGGGCCTCTCACTGCTGTGGCCTCTCCCGTTGTGGAGCACAGGCTCTGGACGCGCAGGCTCAGCAGCCATGGCTCACGGGCCCAGCCGCTCCGCGGCACGTGGGATCTTCCCGGACCGGGGCACAAACCCGCGTCCCCTGCATCGGCAGGCGGACTCTCAACCACTGCGCCACCAGGGGAGCCCGAAATACTTAATTTTGATGTGCTCAGATCCATAAATGTTTTGAATGAGGGTTTGCATTCTGGATGTCTTAAGAAGTCCTTTCCCTACCCCTAGGTGGGGCATTCTTCTCTATTTTATGCTATTAGATCATAATCTAACATCTGTGTTCAGAGTGAAATGCTCTACACTTTTCCTTTTCTGATACTGTTCTTTTCTGGTTTGGGAGTCACCTGAGGAAGTGGGCAGCCTTTTCTCATTCTCTGTTTTCTGGAACAACTGGTATAAGATAAGGACCATCTCTCTGTTCCTTGAAAGTCTGGTGGGCTCCACTGGGAACCTTTGGCACTGGAGTCTTAGATTATAATCTTCTTTACTGGTTATTGATCTATTGAAGTTTTTGATAGTTTTGTACCAATTTTGGCGTTTCACACTTTTCTGAAAAGGCCTTCACTTTAAGTTTTTATTTTGGGTGACATACAATTATTTGTAACATTCTTTTCTTTTAAATTGGAGTATAGCTGTTTTACACTGCTGTGTCAGTTTCTGTAATATTCTTTGATATTATGGCATTTTAAATTCTCTGGGGGCTCGGAAGTCAGGTCATGTAGCCCAGTGGCCACGGGAAGGTCTTGGGATTGGTCCTAAGCATGATGGAAAGTGTGAGAGGATGTTAGAAGACCCATTTTGTCACGCAAAACCCCCGGTCTACTTGAAGATTATAAAGGGTTGGGAGGGTGGATTCTGGAAGGAGAATTTTGTGATGAGATTGATTTAGAAAGGGAGTCCCAACACTCCTCTCAGGGACTAGGGCTGGGGTCTGCCTTCTAATCCCAAATCTGGGGAGAGGTGTTTCAAGAAAGCTGCCTGGAGAGCTTGAGATGGGCTACCTGAAGTCGTGGCAGCCCAGCGGATCAAGGGTACAGGAGACTTCCAGAAAGGCTGCGGAGCCACTGTGGGAACTGGCCAGCACTGTGGAGAAACATGGCACAGAAAGTCACGACTTCATCTGAGGGCATAGAGACAAGTTTCCTTTGGAATTTTAGAGGGACATTGGGAGACAAATTATCCTTTATTATATCCCGCGCATCTTGT